TGGGGTTTTGTATCTAAATCCTGTACCCGTGAGCACAGTACACGTGGTGTGGGTTTTTGTATACACAGCCCTTACGTGTGGCATACCACAAAAAACCTGAATCACACTTAACACAAAGCAATGCTCACTCTGGGGCATTGTGTAAGGACGGGGCTTTGTAGAGACCAGGAGGTCTCACTCCCACCTTAGCCTTGGCCGGGGTGGGACTCACGGAGGGATGGTCCCCTCGGTCTGTCCTGTTTCCTTTCTCAGAGTCTGCGCTGAATCTGCCTGATTTAAATGCGGTGTTTGGGTTCCTCCACTACGTTCCTACAGCCATTAAACTTTGTTACATAGAGAAGGAATAGACATGGGGGGGCATTACCTTGACTGTTAGCTGTGCTTGTCACTGGTGCACTTACGCGTGGTGCACGTGTACAGTCGTGTGGGGGGTGTGCAGACCCCCCACAGGGAGCTGAGGTGGGAGATGAGGCTCCTAAGGAGAGGGTGGGAGTAGGCCGTGGAGCAGGTGGAGCGGGCTTCCTGTGCTGAGTGACGTCACAGCAAGTCACATGGGGTTTGCCGGGGGTGTAGAAGGTCAGAGGGTGGGCAGGCTCCAGAGAGGCCACGGCACAGCTTTCTTGAGCCCTGCGGGTCCCTGCTGCCATCATCGCTTCCGCCCATCTTCTGCCCCAGAGGCCTGAGTAGAGTCATAGCCTACGGCCAGGGGTCCTAGTCGGCTACATTCACAGCCTGCAGAGGCCAGGGCCACGGGGAAGGGGGGGCTGGTGGCTCAGGAAGCTACAAACAAAGGCCTTCTTAGTCTGTCATCCCAGCAGAGGCTGTCTTTGGGTACCGGTTCGCAGCCTTCTTCCTCAATAAAATGGTTGTTTGGAGTCCATCTTTGCCCTTTTTAGAGTGAGAGAGATAAGCCCTGTCAGGGTAAGCGTTGGGGTGTCTGGGGGTTTTGTAGGAGTGAGCGGATCTGAGGCTCGCAGGTTTCAGACGTGCACTTCTGCAGCGGAGGCCGGCCTCCATGCCCAGCCTCAGCCCCGGCAGAGGTGAGGCCGGTGGAGCCAACAGGACGCTGCGGCGGGTTACACTGTCCCAGATAGGAGGGATCAGGGCTCCAGGTTTTCCAGGGATGCAGGAAATCCACAGAGTTTGTGTGAAATACCTCAGTTTACAAATGTCGGTGATGAATTCATATTTTTAAAAATACCGGGCAGTCCAGAAAAGCATATTGGCAGCCTGGGTGCTGCTCGCCAGCCGTTGTGCGCGGCTCTGCTGTAGAGGAAAGGGCCACGGGGCGGGTGGTGTCCCGGTGGGTGCATGGGACAGGGCGCTGTCGAGGCCCTGCACAGAGTCGGGGCCACCATGGCGAGCACTGCCCAGAGGGAGGCATCGCTACAGCATGTCCTCAGGTTTCACAGTGAACAGGTCATTGACTGAAGTGGCAAGGACCAGAGCAGGCTCCAGCTGGGGCAGCCGTGAGCACCAACACCTCACGGAGCTGCCGAGGGGAGGTCAGCAGGAACTGGTGTGAATGAAGGTCCCGAGGGGCACATCACACCCCTCCCTCACACCCGCGGTCAAAGCCCGTTGTCCCTCCCTGTGCACCCTGCGCGGCCATCCCTGCTCCTCTCTCACCTCCTCACCGCTGCTCTCCCCTCGCTCTGCAGCGCGCTCCTGGACCCCTGGGGCTCTCGCTCCCCTGGATGTCAGCTCTCACCCCCCTGCATGCCAGCTCTCGCCCCCCTGCATGCCAGTTCTCGCCCCCACCAGATGCGGGCTTGCGCAGTTGTTCCTCAGCCCACCCTGACCACCCCCCAGCCAGAGGCGCTCTGCCCAGCACTCAGCATGTTGATTTCCTGGTGCTCGATGCCACCTGGCACTGCGCAGACGTGTCCCCCACTGCTGTGAGAAGGGTCTGCTCTGCTCTGTTCACCCCTTGACCCCAGTACTGGACCCCAGTGTGTGTGGAGGGGGTTTGTGTTTAAGGTAGAAGAGGCTCACCTGTTGAAGTGTTGTCAGGAAAGAAGCAGGAGAAAGGGAGAAGTAGGTACAGAACAGAAGGAATGTTTGTCTCGTGAGAAGGAGGGCTGTATCCAGGTTATCGGTGTGAATAAGATGATATTTACAGCAGGGTGCCCTGGTGCCAAGTGTGCACGCCGTGTGGCCTCAACCAGGGGCCTCGCCTGTCTGCCTGCGGGGGCCCTCAGTACATGCCTGGCCCACGAGAGCTCCCTGGGTGGACGTCAGCCTGGGCTCACCACCACAGCCCCAGGCCAGGATCTAGTCAGGTCCCAGTAAGAGGGGCCTAGTGAGCTCAGCACACTGCCGGTGCTCAGGGAGAAGGTGCAGCCAGCACTCGGGTCTAGGTCACAGTGAGGCCCAGCAAGTCAGGGTCAGCTCCAGGTTCCACGGCAGGGGAGGCAGCTCTTCCCCCGACCGCAGCGTGCCTCAGATAACCGGAGTGTGTCCGGGTCCCCTCACCCAGCCTGAGCCCCTGGGGAATGCGGCTGCTTCAGGAGCGCAGCCCGGCTCTCGGCATCTCTGGGGCTCTGCCAGTCCTCCTCTCTTTCTCTTCCTGGGCTCTTCCTTGACATGCCTGACCAAGGCTCATGTCCCCGTTGCTGTCTTCATCTGCTAATTTTCAGTATCTTGTTTGGCCTGTCTTCATGATTCCCTGAGCACCTTTGAAATTCCACGTCTAGGAGTCCCTGGTGAGCGTTGTTTCTGTGGCGTTCCTGTGAAGTGGCCAGGGAGGCTGGGGTCCTGGTTGGGGCTTT